AGTTTATTATATTAATGATATAATATAAATAAAAGAAAGAGATTAGTAAGGGCAGTGTCATTTATCACCTGATTTTTTTTTATTAGAGACATATCTCCCTACCTCCTTCTTATTATATATTTAATCAGGTCTTTATATATAATTTTAACTTTTTTTACCCCTCCTAAAAAATCACCTGATTTTTGTTACTCCTCTAAGCGAAAGTGTCTCTTTCTCTTCAAACTTAATAAAACATAAAGTAATCAAACAAACACCAACCTTCACGATTTGTAAGCACCACATTGTTGCAATATAATGTTGCTTAATAGTGAATCAAGTTGTATCCATACAGATGCTTCAAATCCAAGTTAGATTTCAAGTAGTGCAACCCATTTGTTAAAGCATATAGTCTCTAATATTATACTATACAATACTCAGAAATTGCATTTAACTAAAAATATTAATATTAAAAGATAATTCAAGCCAAGGTTTAAGATTTTAATCAAAATTCTTGTATCGTTTCAATATTATTTTTAGCTATTCAATTCTAAATTCTAAATTCTAAATTCTAGAATTGATTCTTAATTTGATACTCAATCTTGAACAATAAAAAAAAACATTATTCATTTATATATTTAAGCTATTAAACATATATGTATACATATATTACAAAAATCAAATAAATTGTTCATAAAAACAAAAAAAAAATTATACATATCTTTTCCATTTGATTCTTTTAAACTATATTGTTTCATTACTATCTTTAAATAAAATGCCACCAAAAAATAAAATTACATTATCTGATTCTCAGAAATATGAATTTTGTTTGTATGTTCGTAATAATATCAAAATAACTCAAAAAGAATATGTAAATTGGATTGAAAAAAAATAGGGAGTTAGAGTAGATGAATCAACAATAACAAGAATTTTATAAAAAAGTAAAGAAATACTTAACACTGATATTACTTGACCAGATGCTAAACATCATAAATCTGTAATAATTCCTGAGCTTGAACTTGCTTTAAAGAAATTTATTTTAATTTACCAAAGTAGAGCTGTTTTGAATGAAGCAATTTTAATTAAAAAAGTGAAACAATTAGCTAAAGGTTTAGGTGTTTCAGATGGAATATTAAAGTTTTTAGCTAGATGGATTTATAAATTTAAAGAGTGAAATGGGATTCATTAGCAAAAACTTCATGGTGAAGAATCATCAGCTAATATAGTAGCTATTACCAATGCTTTATCTTTGCTAAGAAGTAAATGTGAAGATTATCTACTTAAAAGAATATATAATATGGATAAGACTAGTATTTTTTATAGATTAGAGCCAGATATAACATTAGCTATACAATGACTTTCTGGTCATAAAAAGGATAAAGAAAGAGTTACTGTTGCTTTATGTGCTAATGCAAATGGATCACATAAATTAAATCTATTAATTATTAGAAAATTTGCAAAACCAAAATATTTCATAAATATTAATCTTAATAGCTTACTTATAACATATCGTAGTAATAAAAAAGCATAGATGCTTACTACTATTTTTCAAGATTGGCTTTAGGATTTTAATAGA